CATTGTTGTTTGGCGGGCCCGGGCTGGGGATTCGAACCCGCCACCTTAGGTGTATGTGGCTGGTGCCTTAGCTGCTTGAGCCACAGGCACTGAGCCTACATTAATGTTTTTAAAGAACTGATGAAGTTATCCCAGCTTGCTTTCGTGTGAGTGGAAGCTGAGCAAGCCTGCTGGGAACAGCAGCTGACACGGTTCCGTCTCTTGCAGCTGCCAGCCCATCAGAGAGCAGAGTGGCCACGAGCCAATGGTACCAGCCACACTGTGTGAGTCCCATCTGGTCACTTGCACTCAGGACTACGTGGGCATCTTTTGTGGGTCCATACCAATTTTAGGATTTTTTTTTACCATATGAAGAATGTCACTGGTTTTTAATGAGACACACAGCTTCCAGAGGATCAATTTATATTGTGTCTCTGACTAGTCCAGGGCTGTTTCCCAAGTCATTTTTCAGGCAGAGGGAGTAACCTCAAGCTCCAGCCCTTAAAAAGTGCTCACCATTTTCAATGTTGCTGAATGAACTATCATTCTTTGGAAATACTTCTACTGAGTATTGAAGAGTTTGAAACTGGTAAAATGTCACAGTGAGAAAAAATTATCTAAATAAATATCTTATTAAATATAATGTAATTCTATAATGAGGTTTTTTTTTTTTCAGTTTTTTTTTGGCCAGGGCTGGGTTTGAACCTGCCACCTTTGGCATATGGGACCGGCGCCCTACCCTTCTGAGCCGCAGGCACTATCCTTACCTTTTAAAGAGTAAATTATATGTTTAAGTATGTATCTGACACCTGCCCCCCACCCCATCCCACAAAGACTAAGTTTCCCCAAAGACTTTTCCCAGTAACATTTCCTTATGATAAAGGCTGAGGTCCTCACGTTGGGATCAGCGATCAGGATCCTGTATGTGGCCATTGCTCCTCTCCCATAAACCAGCATTATGCAAAGGTGATTAATTGCTTATTATTTCAAAGCCTCTGACCTAGAAGTTATACCTGTGGGAATTTATCTTGAAGGAATATTGAACAGGGAGGATATAAGGATGCTTACAAAACAGTCGCAGAAACAACCCAGATGCCCAGTAACGAGAGCTGGCTAAGTAGAAGCTGGCGTGTCCTCTGGATGGAGCACCAGGCAGGGGTTCCCGTAACAGACAGGGGCATGTTTACCAGCATAAAAGTTCACAGAAACTGTCAGGTGGAGGAAGCAGGTTGTAAAATGGGATGGGTAGAGATCACTCGTTACTGTTCCTTTCAGCATATAAAGCACTCGACACACCCAGGTTTGGACAAGTCTGGGACACCTGCAGGCCACAGTGTTAGCAACACAACCACCTCTGGGGTTGCAGGGCATCTCCCTTCTTCTGTGTAGCTGTCAGGTTTTACGATGTAAATGCTACATGTCCTTCCAAAGTCCATCCCACTCAGATCTTGGGACAGTGGAAAGGTCCTTAGACCCCTGGTTTGTGCTGGGTGGCTGGTGGGGG